GCCGAACGATCGGTCCAAGATGCCATAGATGGCCTCTTTACGGCCCACGAGGCTGCGAAGACGCTCGAAGCGGCCTGCAAGAGCACACTTAAGGGTCCCAACAAGCAACATTCAATGATTTCCCCTTGGCTTTTGCAAGATTCTGGCGTTCTCGCCATTTGGGCTTCCCAATGCCCCAAGACGGCCTAAGATGCCAGCTGGATCGCCACAAGAGGCCCCCAAGAGGTTTCCAAGACGGCTCCCAAACGACCCAAGAATGCCCCAAGGCGGCCCTAGAATCCTCCCACACGGCCTAAGAGGACCCCAAGACGGCTCCAAGAGGGTGCCCACACGGGAGCCTGAACGAACATTTCGAGTCCTCGGCCCCGAAAAGCTCCCAGGAGGCCCCTAGAGTCCCCCAAGAGGCCCCCACGAGGCCCCCAGAGGCCCCCAAGAGCCCCCCCCAAAACTGCCACCCACAGGCCTTCGAGCGCGCTCCGAGGAGGCCCCACGAAGCATCCCTGAGGACTCTGCCCCGCATCTGCGTCGTCGTCGCCGCCGCCTTCGTCGTCGTCGTCGTCGTTGTCGTCGCCGTCTTCGTCTTCGTCTTCGTCGTCGTCGTCGTCGTCGTCGTCGTCCCTCTTCAGGGTCAGTGGTACTGGCCGTAAGGCCTTCCTAATACAGGGCACTCGATAACATGCTGGATGTGGTCACCCCCATGCGTCTGACATGCTATGCGCGAGTTTGCGGTCTCGAGTTCCCCGAAAGGACACCATGAGTTCGTGAGAATCCGCAGGAAAGGAAAAACAGGATAAAGAAGGAGGTGGAGCCCAAGCTGGCAGAAGATGGTGCTGACGGGGATCTCTTCACCGGCCTTGAGCGGCACGGCTCCACTGAAGCTCTGAACCCGTCACCAGAAACCTCCCCGCAAGGGTCGGGACCAAGAGACGCGAAGTACCGTTCAACTTTGTGCTGCAAATGGCGGCTCTCGGAAGGAAGAGCGCGCAGGGCAGTGACGCTTGAGTAATTGTTCACCAAACCCTGGAAAAGAGTCTGCCTCCAAAGGGGATGGCTCCTCCACGCCACCACGCAATCTCGATCATCTTCGATCTCAACAAACCAAAACGTATTATCCTGGCATGCTTTGGAACGTCTGGCGCCCCTAAACATGGCGGCCAGGCCAGCGTGCTCAAGAGATCGTGCTTAGACAAGGAAAGTGGAAGGAACAGAGGGCGCAGAGAAGGGAAAAAAGGCATGGCCTTCCGCAGTGCGCACGCATCGCGCTGCAACGTCTCGCGCTCGACGCGCAGCACCGTCGGAGCAACGGGGCAGAGCTGCGACACATGCGTCAACGCTGGTCAGGCTAACATTTGTGAAGGGGCCCCAGGACACACACATAAATACACACCAATGAACAGATTCCCCATATTTTCACATGTTTTCTGGGTTTGTGTATTGCCCCCCCCCACTTCCCATGTTTCCCCATATCTTCTGGGGGATCGACGATGCATTGTGTCTGTGTTTTTTTTTCCCTCCTGCATGTTATCGTGGCCGAACATTTTCTGCAGCCCCCGAGCCACGCGCGGGCACCTGCTGCGCGCGGGCCTGCCACTTGGCCAGGCGGGCGCGCCAAGTTTCAAACTCACGCCCGTGCCCGAGAACCAAACCCAAGGTACTGGCCATGGGAAGAAATCGGAAAAGGCCAACTTGGAATGCCCGTGCCGCGCCATCTCTCGGCGGAGTGCCTCGGGGGAGGAGTCGCCGAGAAGAGCTACAACGGCCTTCCCTTCGTTGAGGTCGTAGTCGAGCCCGCAGTCAGCCAAAGCCCATATGCCCAAGAACCTGGCCAGGCTCGTCACGATAGCCCTGGCGGGTAAGCCGGCGTCGTCGGCAAAATCTCCGAAAATGGCGAGAGGGGGGGACGCGGGCCGCGTGCATCTGGAGGGCGCCACCAATGCAGTGCGAGTGAGCTCACGGAGAAGGGGCATCCCTGTTTGATTCCCCGTCCCAGACAGAAGCCAATCCCAACGCAACCCCTAAACTCGACCCAAACGTCCTGATAGAGCGCCCGAATGGCCTGGACAAGGTGTGCAGGGATCTCCATGACCTCCAGAACCCAGAGGATGGCGTCGTGGATGAGGGAGGGTAAGGCGGCGCGCACGTCGAAGAAGGCCATGCCCACCGGGTAAATACCGTGCT